CGTGTGCTCTTCCGATCTTTTTTCAAATTCGGGTCCGCCATATTGAATCCGTCATTTTGAATTTCTAAATTTTGACTTCAGATTCGTAATCAGCAACCTCAAAAACTCCCGAGTATCAATTTTCAAGTCAATCGTAGGTAAGGGAAAATGTATGCTTGAAAGGGTTAAGTATATGTAGGTATATGTATATATACATATATGAACTTAAATTTTTATTTTTGTATCACATTAAAACAATAATTCAATTTTATTTAATTTGAGGAAGAATAGGAAAAATTGATCTAATATCTTAATACTATTTTATTTTTATAACACAATAAAATTGAATTTGTCAAGAATAATCATGTTCATTTGAAAGCTCTTGAATTATACTTTCAGATGCTGTGGAGTTTATTTAGAAACTGCAACTTCTTTTTTAATTGCCAAAAAATGTTAAAAGTGGTCAACGCCATTATTGGCTCTTTTCCAATTTACTCAAAATTCTGATGTGCTAGACAAATTCTGCCAACGGCATCGTGTTTAGCACGAAAAAATTTTCGAGAAACGTACTATCGTATTTTGGAGAGAAAAAAAGTGTTTTTTCGTCACACTGTATAATTAAACACTAACAAATTTAATACTTATTAATACTTACAATATTAAATTCTATGACAAAGTAACTTTCTCGAATAATTTTTATTATTTTTGTTTCATATTACAAATTTTTTAAACAAATCTTCTCTTTTTGTGTATATATGTGATAACGTGAAATAAAAACAAATTTTATAATAATAAATGAAAACGAAAGCCGTAGTTGTTTTACCTTAGCGATTTGACTGAAACCGCTAGCAGGTTCAGCATGTCCAAGATTGGATTTTACAGAGCCGATCATTAATGGAGTTTCTCTGTTTTTACACAATACACTAGAGATAGCATTAATTTCTGGAGGATCGCCAGCTTTGGTAGCGGTACCATGTGCTTCAACATAATCCAAACAAGATGTCGGTATTCCGCATTCATTGTAAAATTCTGTTAGTAAAGTACTTTGCATAAATGACGATGGATATGTTATTCCTTCTTCTTTGTAACCATCACTGTTTAATTTAACATGTGGACATATAGCATAAATCCTCTTTGCATTCTTCGCCTTTTGAAGGTACATCGCTGATACTGTTTCGCTACGAACATAACCATTTGCAGCAGTATCAAAAGGTTTGCAGTAACCGGTGGGAGACAAAACGCCTAAGAGATACGAAATATACATATGTAAAAATATATAAAGTTATTTAAAATGAGCTTACACAAAGAAATTTAAAGAATTATCTTTTTCGTTTATAAAGATGTGTTATTCAATTTTGGTAAAAATTTTATTATAAACATTTTTATAAAAATTTCAATCAGTTAAATTTTACTTTACTTTTCGTGGATAATAGAAGTGTTTCTTTAATTTTATTGCGTATTAAGAAATTTATTAGTTCTTAAAAAATACCACGTCTAAAAAAGTGTAGAGTTAATACGGGAAAAAGACATATATTTGCAGTTCCAATTATTGCGTCTTCGCATATGCCCGACATGATATAGTTATAACCAATGGCCAAGGCAGAAAGGCTAGAACTGCATGCGCTATCAATGGTATACGATGGCCCTTTCAGATCGAAATAGTGTGAAATCATGTTTGCTGTTGTAGATTTGCTGCATCCAATAATATTTTGACCACCTAACTAATTACAGAATTTTAATACATTATTATGTCTTATTCTTAAACAATACAATAATTCTTTACTATATTAATTAATTAATAATTATATTAATTAATAATTTTCTGTACCTGAGCGGTGATATATAAAAATGGATTTTGCAATTCAACATAAGTGATTGCTACAATTACAGCAGTATTTTTTCCTCGCAATTGCTTCGGATTGATTCCTGCATCGATAATTGATTCATAAGAATGTTCCAATAACATTCTCGCTTCAGATGAAAGTGTGTCTGCTTGCTCAAAAGATAATCCAAAGAAATCCGCATCAAATTTTTTCACATTGCTAATTGTTCCCATTCTATTTGGAATTTCCGCATGATCTAATGAAAGATGAAAAAGATATAACATCTTTATTGAGTATCTTGAGTAGATGTATTCATATAAAGATGATATATCTTGTTCGTTTTTTCATATAAAATTTAAGTTTGGAGTATACTTTTTTGCTATGTAAATATGCAAGGTTAAGAAATAACGCGTTATTTATAATAACGCCGTTGTACTGATTTCGTTACTTTTTTTGTAGCTGTAATAGTAATGGTGACGTCATTATTTTTACAGTAACGATAACGAATTTGTCATTATTTTTATCGTTACTTTAGTTTTCTATTATCTTTACATCTATTTAATAGATCACGTGCTGATTACGTGCTGATCGTGTACATTATGCAAATACAATGTATTATTTACAATGTATTATATAAAACCAGAATTACGTGTGCAATAAATATAATGATAAAATATGTATTTTCTTATTTTATAATTATTTTGACTTATTTTTTATAAATTCTTTATATTCTATATTTTTAGGCTACATTATACCGATCACTATCAGTATTGAAAATTTATAATGATTATTGCATATTATATTACATTATATAGGAGCAAAAGGAATAAGATGACGAAGTGGGTAAGATGACCAACTGATAATATTTTTAAACAAAGAGTGAGAGTGAGAGTTAATACATTGATAACAATGATAATTCAATAAAAACTTTAGATAATAATACGTAATTTCTAATAGTAGTAATTTCATCCTTATACACAAAAGATCAATAATATAATGGGA